GTACTTCATGTGAACACGAAATGAAATTAATATATGCGATGACGACATTAAACTGCACACAAAAATACTTACTTTTCTACGGATCAGAATAGGTTTACCAGGAGAGTCCGAATCGGAAAGTGAAGTCTGCATCAAAACGTCTACCTTATATACTAAGACAGACGGTTATATGCACCGGTCCACTTACGGTCATAAATTGTAAATGTGTCTGCACTATGACGGGGTTGTCAACGTATTATACAACGATGGCCAGTCTATGTTAGCTGTGTGATAGTATTTATTGACAAGGACTCATTGATTGACGGCAACAATGGACAGTAAATTATGTCATTCCTTACAGACGTTTTTTCAAGAAATGTGAGGAATTCATCAGCTCATTACACATATAGGGTGAATACATGTCAAATTGTGGAGAGAGAGAGAGAGAGAGAGATAAAGAGAGAGTGAGGGATAGAGAGAGTAATACATGTTATTTTAAATACAATTTACTTTGCATGATGTACGTAAATTGTAAGATTTATAATTGTACGTGTTTCACAGGAAGACATTCGCTTATTAAATGCAACAAGATGGGTAAATTTTGACGAATATATGTTGATATGTCAATATACTCATTGATGGACGGCAACAATGGACAGTAAATTATGTCATTCCTTACATACGTTGATTCAAGAAATGTGAGGAATTCATCAGCTCATTACACATATAGGGTGAATACATGTCAAATAGTGGAGAGAGAGAGAGATAAAAAGAGAGAGAGAGAGAGTGAGAGAGAGTGAGAGAGTAATTCATGTTATTTTAAATACAATTTACATTGTATGATGTAGGTTAATTGTAAAATTTCTAATTGTACGTGTATCACAGGAAGACATTCGCTTATTATATACAACAAGATGGGTACATTTTGACGAATATATGTTGCCCTAATGCATTCCAAATCATAGCAAAGAGAACCTTAACTTCGGTAGTGTAACAACAACATAGTTCACGTACTCGCAGTTGTCTTGGCTGCAGTTAGATCCTCTTGTTTTTATTTTTAATTGGTGTGAACTACATTTAAAACGAGCCTGAGCTACTTTAAATTTGGAAACTGTTATAACCTCAACATACAATTCCGAGCAAACGGATTGTTTACAAAAGGTATAACTATTGGTTTCAATACCCGGAAGGAGCCCATCACCCTACAATTTACCGTATATTACCTTCACACGAAATAAAAATACAAGATAATTAATAATATTTGAAAAGTATTATGCTTAAATTGTTGTTCCCATACATAGTCAAATCAAGCAGAAAAAGACATTTTTTGCTAACTTTTGAAGCCCAATTAATCACATTTCCCATTTTCTGATGTATGAAACATCATATTATAACACCTATTCACATATCTACTTTCAGGCACTCGCAAAATACTGCAGCGATACTTTGAAACACGTTTTCTATGGATAAAATTATAGTTCGATATCGGTCGCATTCTCCTGCGCTAAATGTGCTATTTGAAAACTCACGTTGCGCGTTTGGTTCCAAATTAAATTTAACACGGTTAAATCTACAGTTAACTAAGCTGAACATTGAAAACACAGTTTGTTCATCTTCTAACTCAAGGCGTTTTAAATAGATTGCAAAGCATGTAATATCCTTGCAAATGATTTGAGGCTTTTGAAAAATCAACATATGCAGCATAAACCTTACCCTCTTCTTAGACAAATGCCGTTGGATAATTACTTGCAAAATAAATATATTATCAACAGCATATGCATTTGACCAGAACACCAGTCTTGTTGAGCACAGACGTATATAAAGTACTGAATACACTTAGCTGCTATTTGACTCCATAATTATTTGGATTTTGTTTATCCCCACTCTTATGAATGATAACTCCTAAGTTCAAAGAGATTTAAAAATGTGCTTTCTCAGATAAATTGTTACACATAAGTTAGTATATGGTACTATTAGATCAGATGAGAACTTGTAGAACTTAGCAATGGAGATGTTTAATTCGTTTTTACTCTACAATATTTCCCTTTCTGCTTAACTGCCAATCTTACCTGTCTAAAGGGGACTGGTCACACATATCCCCATTATCACATTGAGTTTCAATTAACAGGACAGTTGGCAATGAAAGCGGTCGTAAAGTGGTTATACCCATTGGTAACAGAAATGGGTTGGGTAACACTGTATTGGAGTGGGAATAGTTTAAGTGACAACCCATTTAGGTCATTCAATGTTATCAGCTTTACTCAATATGTGCATCATACACTATCCAGATATTATTCTTATTTCTTGGGTCATAATGAAAATACATACCAAGAGTCAAACTGTATGTTTAGTGTTTTTTTCTAAATTTGTATTATGTATACACAAAAACAGAAAGGTGTCTGTGTACATTCTGCATAAAACTCATACAAAAATGAATGTCGAAATGTTACGAAGTGTATTAATGTACCAGTTACTTATTACCGTTACAGATACACTGTTTTGGTTGAGTGAGTGAGTTATTTGGGTTTAACGCCGCTTTTAACAGTATTCCAGTTATATCACGGCGTGTCAGCTTCATGTATGAGGAAAGCCCCAAGTGATGCAGGTCTCAGACGTTTACCACTTCGGTAAAACCCACGAGCACGGGTATGGTGCTGACAAACCTAGAAACATAATGGGGGCGAACCGGGATTCGAACCCACAATCATAGGTTTCTGGCGTGCAAAAGGGCGCAACTCTAGATAGCGAATCGCAAAAACAAGCATTTTTTACGACTAATACATTGTTGGAAGAAAATCAGGTAGCAATGCCAACACGTTTTGAATTGTCTGTGAATCTGTGTACATGTGTGTGTGTGTGTGTGTGTGTGTTTGTGTATACACTCTTCAAAAAAAAGAAACGCACAGGTAGATTTTTAGTAATTGCATTGTCCCTAATAAAGTCGATATTTTTAATTTAATATTCTCATAGATGCAAATATGAAATTTTGGAGCTCGATAGTCACATGTTGTCGTTGTACAAAGGCATTGAAAACTGTTCATTGTCATGTCACATAAGGGCACAAGGTTGCGCTGAACTCAGTATCTCGTTCTCGTAGTCAGCTTCAATGAACTACATATTACCTGTGCGTTTCTTCTTTTTTGAAGAGTGTTTGTACATATGAATTACGACTGTCGTTATTTCGAAATAAGTAGACTAGTGCAAAACATGGAGGTTTACGTAGGTGTATAAATCTACAATTTCTAGTGCGGGTAAATACTTAAAATTAAAGCGACTAAAACTTCACCATAATCATAAGACATATCTGCTGAACGCAAAGTTTATTTTACGGTTTTGACCCTTTAATAAGCATGTGTTTATGAGAAACTATTAATTAGTGATGATGCCAGGGGATGGCGAAAAGGTGAAAGTATCCTGCCATTATTGATCTTTATTGAACGATATCAGATCATCGATATACCTGCAGCTTAGATTATACCTCTTGACCAAATGCCCTTGTTAAGATTCTGACAATGCAGTTCATATGCATAAAGAAACAAATCAGCTGAGAGGGGAGCATAATTAGTGCCCATGGGGATGAATATATGTACATCATTCCTGCATATCCTATTTCTAAAGCTCCCAAAGATTTTTATCTTTGAGGAAAAACAGGATTTCACACATTGTTTTATCAGTTAACTTCAGGTGACATTTCTCACAAATTGCCCTAAACCTTGGATAATAGAGTTGTAACTATACATATTGTCATCACATTTAGTGACAAATTCGCCATGGGTGAAAAAATGAAATGTCCCCTTAAGTTTGCTTAAATTATTAATGTAATTAATAATAATTTTCCGAGATTGCAACACGTTCAAGCAAATATTTTAAGTTTTTTGAGAATGAACGGTGTCTTAATTCCACTTGTCACAAATACTTTCTGTGAATATAAAGGCAATGCAGCCTTAGTTGTATTAAGAACTATGGTTCATCTTTGAGACATGGATCCGGTGAGTACATTTGCTGGATCCAGTAATATATATCTCTGTATCCAGATTTTTTTTAGCTTTGGAATCCAGTACGAAAGAGAAATTGACAAGTCTGCAGGCCAAAAGTTGATCCCATATATCGGACCGGGTGGAACAATTTTACCTGTCCCGTGCTTTGACATGTCAGCATCACAACTGATTCAATTTTGTTTGTTTGTAACAGCGCACTCAGAAATATTGCAGCTATATGACTTCTCCAAGATAAAGATGGTTGATGATTATCGTGTATTTTAATCTGTATAGCAAGACGGGTTTCTTTCAATGTAGATCATTCAACGGCTACAACTTTTAAGCCCATTTTGCAGTTTGACGCCACATATATGTGCTCTATAGTGTCAGTTTATTTTGCTGTCCAAAACCATTCATCTCCCCCATAACTACACCTATATTTCATATAACACTGCAAAAAGTGCATTCAACATTCGTGTATTTTCATTTTGATTACATTGACTGATTCCCTTTATACGGCCATTCTCTCAGTAGATCAGTCAGCACACGACTTAATACACCTAGCATTTCCTATTGTATGACACTTTTATGTAGTTTATGATACATCTTAGCAGTTTTTATTCAACAACTAAACCAACATTACAAGGCATGCTTTCTTGTTTCCGTTTATCAAACTTATGAAAGTGTGAATGAATGAACTAATCAAATGACAAGTCTTACAGAAAGAGTTTGCGAACAAGAATCAAATTACATGCAAGAGGAATAAATATAAACACAGGGATTAAAATGAAAGTTAAGCAACTTCTTTAATATAATTACATTATGTTATATATTCAATCATGATCTCTTACTCCAATTTTCTTTCTGAATTGTCTGCACCACCTCCGTGCTCGTGGGTTTCACCAAAGTGAAAAAATGAAGTGACAAAACTCTTTCCATACCCAATAGAAATCTTTGCATAAAGCAGAGTCGACAGTACGATGCCAACTATATCATGAGAATATGTTTATGAATCACTATCAAATAGTAATGATACCAGGTGTCCGTGAAAAGGTGAGCGTATCCTGCCCCACTGGTGGCACCCGTCACAAACACATGCAAAGGCAAGTCAGTTGTTAAGTCCGATATCTATCTATATCTCCGAGTGAAATTATCATGATAGACGTGTGTTACCGTGTAGTGTACTGGCCATGTATGGATTAGAAATCATTGAAAATACAACACATGAATATACTGTAAGGATGTTTATTAACAGTTATACATATAAGCGATTACATCCCAAACACCTTTGTTTAGGATGCCAAACATGTCAACTTTGAAGACAACTGCTTGAAGCAATACTGACAGTATCTGACACCAACATTATCAATGCAAAACTGGCTGAACCAGAATGGATAGCACTGATTTTGTTCCATCCCGAACTATGACACCGTTCGGTGTTCATTTAAAGTGCCATGTAAGCGGGGACATAGGCAGCAGATCCTGTTTGAGCAGTTGCGGCAATAGTCGTGGGAGCAGCAGCAGCATTAGCGTCGAGATCAACATACACAGGACCTGCAGGAGACACAATACAATGATCTGACTTTTGACACGATACGTAATACCTCTTGTACAAACACATCAACACAGTAGTCTTGTTTCTGGTTCATTGCTTGTTCATTTTTATTAAATTGCATAAGCATCGGAAGACATCAGCAAGGTTGTCCGTGTTCTCGTTTACTGTTAGTGGTTCTATCACATTGCGGGACGGTCGGGTAGCTAAGTGGTTAAAGCGTTAAAGACCCAGGTTCGATTCCCGACATGGGTAAAATGTATGAAGCCCATTTCTGCTGTCCCCCGCTATATTGCTAAAAGCGGCGTAAAACCATACTCACTTACTCACTCACTCACTCACTCACTCTATCACATTGCAACAATGCACTTACCATTACCATTGGTTTGAATGGCACCGGCGCCCTGTAATCCTGGCTGAACTAGTCCTTTGTTGGCGAGCCCTGAGCCGAGACCAAGAGGGGAAACACCAAGACCGTAAGGGGAAACACCAAGACCGTAAGGGGAAATTCCAAGACCGAAGGGGTCAATTCCATGACCGAAGGGGGGAATTCCAAGGCCGAAATGGGGATTTCCAAAGGCGAAGGGGGACATACCGATCCCACCGAAAGGAGGGAAACCAATCCCAAAACCGTGTGTTGTTGTTATGGTAACAAGGCAGACAATGGTGACAGCAAGGACCTTCATGGTTTATTAGAATCTGGGAAGTGAGAGAAAAGGCACATGTATTAATTGAAACCGTAAAATACTTATTGACGTGATATATTTTTTGACGATGATTTACAAATGCAAGTGAAAAGACACTAAGAGGCATGCCTACCAAATATATTTGTTACGCATGCATTTTCCCTAACACACTGACTTTGACAACTCAAAACGTTTTAATATCGCCTTTGTCCGAATGAAATAATAATCAATCAGAAACGTCCAATTGTTATAATATATCTTCCTGAAATTTGAAACGAATTAAAGTAGATTATGAAGCATCCAGTGATCTAAATTATTGTTCTTTGAAGAATGGATTGAAATAACATGATAATGCTAACATTCCTATCACTGCATATTAAGATGTTTAAGAAAACGGAATAATATGTCATGACAAGAGCGGGTAGAATTGTGAAAACAATTAAATATTTGCACATGGATAATCCGTGAGAAGGATCCTGTTTCATATACCACATATCTTCTTCATGTGAACACGAAATGAAATTAATATGAGCGATGACGACATTAAACTGCACACAAGAATACTTACTTTTCTACAGATCAGAATAGGTTTGCCAGGAGAGTCCGAATCGGAAAGTGAAGTCTGCACCAAAACTACAACCTTTCATAGTAAGACAGACGGTTAAATGCACGGGTCCACTTACGGTCATCAATTGTAAATGTGTCTGCACCATGACGGGTTGTCAACGTATTACACAACGATGGCCGGTCTATGTTAAATGTGTGTCGGCGTTGTTATTTATTGATCTGGACTTATTGGTCGACGACAACAATGGACAGTAAATTATGTCATTCCTTACAGAAGTTTATTCAAGAAATGTGAGGAGTCCATCAGCACATTACGCATATAATTTGAAAGAGAGGGTAAGACATGTTATTTTAAATCCAATTTACATTGCAGGATATATGTAAATAGTTATATTTAGTAATTTATATCAGAGGAAAACATTCGCTTATTATACACAACGAGATGGGTACACATAAAGAATTTGACAAATAATGTTTGCCCTTATGGCATTATAGGCATTACAAATCACGACAAAGAGAATGGCATCTTCAATTGTGTCACAGTTATTTAGTTCACATACTTGCAGATCTCTTGGTTGCTGAACATACCTTTCTGGTTTTGTTTTTTTAATTGGTGTGAACGACATTCAAAACGAGCCAGGGCTAATAAAAATGTTTAAACTGTTATAACTTTAAGGTATAATTCCGAGCAAACGGATTGTTTAAAGTGTACACTTTTAAGTTTTATGCCCCGACGGAGGAGCACATCGCGTCAGTCTTGACTGTATATTGCTGTACAAGTACTGAGGTAAAGCTCAAGTAATATGTTTAAATTGTTGCTACCATACATAGCCAAATCCTGAAAAAACCTTTCACGTGTACTTTCAAGCATTTGTAGCATCCCATTTATTAGACAGCTTAAACCATCAACATTTCCATATCGATGCACAGCTACCCGTTCCAAAATAAGGGTGTAAGATGTAACTCTGAAAGTTCTTATCCATAAACAATGTGATGTATTCATGTTATTTCAAATTAAAAGTGCCTTTCAAAGACCTAATGGGATAGATTTTTGAATATGCAGTGACTCAAATATAACATTAACGACTTTATTGGTTTGAAGTGACGCATTTATTTTATGATTCGACCATGTCAATGTCTTCGAAATGTCTGAAATATATTGTAATATGGAATATTTTCAATATTCGAACCTCTGTGAGTCCACTGTTCGTGTTTAGATAAAATATCCCTATTTAAAAAAATCACACTTTAATAAAATCATTTACAAGATGTACAGTTCAATGGTTATCAATACAAAACTGTCCGTGTGCATTAATATTGCCTTGGGAACCATATACAGAGTCACAAAAGGGAAAGAGAAACAGTTGGACTGAAAGAAGATTATTATTATCTTACACATCTTTTCAAGGAGTCTTAAACTAATTGCAAGGCATTAAACATCTTTGAAATATAAATGATCAATGCAGGATAATACAAAGGTCTAGATTATCTGCCGAAAAAGATTCCATTTGGCGTACAGGGCAAAACAGCTGTGTAAACTATACGAAAATTGTCCACTAAAAATCAGTGATGACATCAAGTGTTCGCGAAAAAGGTAAGCATATCCTGCTCTACCGGTAGCACTCGCCATTCACAAAATTTGCATAAAAAAGTGAATATGTATTGCCTGACGCCGCACAGCAATACTCCTGCCGTGCGAAACACCTCTATTCTTTAGAACACCCCATAATTTGGACCTATTTACAAAACCAAAGTCTTCTGAAAATCAACAAACGCAGCGTACATTTTTCCTTCTTCGTGGATAAATACTGTTGATAATTGCTTGCAAAATATACATATTATCAACGGAGCTATAACCTTTGCGAAAACTAACCTGGGATTCTTCAGTTTAATCATATGCATTTGACGAGGACACAAGACATTCAATGAGAATAAATGTATAATTTACGAAGCACACTTCACAGTGTCATGCCACTATAATTATTTGCGTCCTAGGGGGCACGGGTGGCCCAGTCGTCTGAGGCGCCGCGATTCGCTATGCAGGGTTGCGTCCCTTGGGCACGCCAGAAACCTATGATTGTGGGTTCGAATCCCGGTTCGCCCCGATTATGTTTCTAGGTTTGTCAGCACCATACCCGTGCTCGTGGGTTTCACCGAAGTGGTAAACGTCTAAGAGCTGCATCACTTCGGGCTTTCCTCCCACATTAAGCTGACACGCCGTGATATAACTGGAATACTGTTAAAAGCGGCGTAAAACCCAACTCACTCACTCACTCACTATTTGCGTCCTCTCTGTTCCCACTCTTATGAAGAGGCAAGATAACTGCTCTGTTCCATGGGGTTTAAAATGTGCTTCCTCGAACTATGTCAGTATCAGGACAGATAGCACTGAAAAGAGATTATACCCATTGTTAAAAGAAATGGGTGAGGTTACACTGAACTAGACTGAAAAGTTAAAGTGATCACCATGTACATGTATGTAGCTCAATCTTGTCTGCTTCACGTAATTCACCACGTGTATCATATACAGTCAAGTCCCGTTTAATCCGACATCGATGGTTGCATATGATTATGTCGGATTAACGAGTATGTCGGATAAACGAAATTAAGTAGCATCAACGTTTGTGATCGAAAATCGGACAGCTTCACGATAGATAACGATTCAAACACGTAATAAAAAAAATAAAATAAAAATATTCATATTGTTATGTTACATTTTTGGCGGAATATGTTTTCTTATCATGCAACCTCTAAAATTTAACACAAAACAACTCTTACGGACTGTATGACTTATTCAAAATACTTTAAAAAGCATAGTCAGAGGGCTTGCATCACCAAGTAGCGCCGACTCCCCATTGTTCTCGGTGACTTAGGTTTGGTACCTCCCAATCTATTGACTGACATTGGGAGTGTACCCGCGGCCTTCTGACAATCTGAGTAATGCAGAAGGCTGCAGTGTTGGGACTCACCATGACCACACGCTCCGAACAGTTTTTATTGAGTTCGACGAGGTAGTGCTTCCTGGGAGAAGTCCCATTCGCTGTCTGGGCTGCGTGTAGAGGGGACAAGAACCCTGAACGGATGATGAGCCAACCAACCTGACTGAGCCAGGATCACCCAAACCCTCTTTGCTGCAGTTATTTTAATCTGTAAAATATAAATATGAAGCAAACAAGGCAAGACTATTTCTATTAAAGTATGACTTTGGATGGGTTGAGTATTTACAATCTTTCATTTTCCATCTTCCATCTTTATTCGAAATTAAATTTTAAAGGTCCACATAGATTAAGCATGATCAAATCAATACATTGAGATCTATAAAACTATGGGTCGGTCCGGATGAAGCCTCCAAAATTTGTGCACAATATGCTGACCGATGAAAATTCTCAAAATTGCAAACTTGGTTATGATTGATGCAAGAACATTTAGTCTACACACAGAGAATCTCACCCGAGTTTGATATAAAACATATCAACATACATCGACTATAGTACCAAAACTCTGCGTCTTGCCAGGAGGTTTTCTACTTTGATCGACGAGTGTTTATATAATTGGTATCAAAATCCATGAGGTTGAATCTATTATGGTCCAATATCAAGTACCTTATCTCAGTAAGTACAAGACAAATATGGCAATGCATTACGTTTCTTCGACGAAAACATGTGCAGCATAGCTATTGTTTGTAACTGTGACATATCTAATATATTTCTTGTTCATATATTTAAACCGCAAAGTTGAACGAAAGACTTTATTTTGCTTAAATTGTCAATTGGTTAAGAGTTTCGTGTTGAGTATACCGATAGTCTGAACATGTGGCGCGTTCCCTTATGACGTCAATGTCGAAAAGTGAAGTGATTACGTTATGACGTTACTTCGACGTTACAGCCACAGGGCGTCTCGGCCCTGGACTCAGTCACCTACAAACTATATTTATTTATTGCTAAAGGTAAATGAGATTTTATGTTGCATCATAACCTTCTTAATGCTAGTATATATGTTGATTACTTGTAACCTCGTTGATCCATAGCGCAAGCATAGCATCATCAATTGACCATTGAGATACTGTACTCACATGCACATATGTACATGGAAAATATTATGTTAACGTAAAGTGAAGTACAAGTATACTCGACCCGTGAACATCCGTGTTAGAATAGGTCTTCAGCAAGCCATGCTTGCCATAAATCGGATAGTCAGGCTGGCTGACTTGGTTGATGCATTTCATCGAATCCAAATTGCGTGGATCGATGCTCTGATCCAGACTCAATTATTTACAGACCGCCGTCATTTAGCTGGAATTTTGCTGAGTGCAGCGTTAAACAACAAACAAACATTCAAACAAACATCACCTCTGAAAGTATGCCTTTCCAACGGAATGCATGAATTGTTTTAGCAGCTTTGCAATGCGATTTGTGCCCTGGACTCAGTCACCTACAAACTAACCAAAGTGTTCGGTATGCTGACTGTCATGTCGTTGTACTGTTTGAAAACGTCAAGAATGAACCCTCATACTAACGCTTATGTCAGTCTCCTAGCAGATATTGTCTGCCTTCACACAAGCAATATCTCCTGCGGGAGTCAGATTAGGATAATAAATATAAGTAGCTCTGTGACATATACTTAACGTATCAAAACTTACTGGAGCGAGTACGTCGTATGTGGATATCATGCGGACAAATCAATTTTTTTATGTCAAATATATTACATCAAATTCTGCAGTTCTCAATTTTGCTCAGCGCCGAGTCCGATGGAGAGTTAATACTGATTTGAGCTTTCTTCAATACATTCGACGTGATAGTATTGACACACTGCAGTTGTTCTTATCACCATGCTATGACAAGTGATTTTGTGCTGTGACCACAATCACCACAAGATCTAGAGAAACACTTATACGTAGAGGGCCAAATAGCGGTTACAAAAAAATGACGTGTGTTTGCCTGTTCCAGATTCGAATTTTTACGGAAATCTGGAATATTGCATCTGCATCGGTAAACAACGTTCACTCACTCACCAATCATCTTTGGAGCACATACACTGTACAAATGGATCCCATTATGTTACATGACCTCCGGGGTAGAACAGGTC